AGTAAATGGAATCGATTCTCTAATTTCCCTTTCTATATTTTCATTGTTAGTGTATAAGAAAGCAACTGATTTCTGTGCATTGATTTTGTATCCTGCCCCATTACTGAATTGCTGTATGAGTTCTAGTGGATTGGGGGTGGAGTCTTTTGGGTTTTCCATATAAAGTATCATGTCATCTGCGAAGAGAGAGAGTTTGACTTCTTCATTGCCAATTTGAATACGTTTTATTTCCTTTGTTGTCTGATTGCTGTTGGTAGGACTTCTAATACTATGTTGAACAACAGTGGCGAGAATGGACATCCTTGTCATGTTCCTGATCTCAACGGGAAGGCTGTCAGCATTTCCCCATTGAGGATGATATTCGCTGTGAGATTTCCATAGATAGCTTTCAAGAAGTTGAGGAATGTTCTCTCTATCCCTAACTCTGAAGCGTTTTCATCAGGAACAGATCCTGTATCTTGTCAAATGCTTTTTCTGCATCAATTGAGAGGACCAAGTGGTTCTTCTCTCTTCTCTTATTGATTTGTTCTATTACATTAATTGATTTGCAAATGTTGAACCATGCTTGCATCCCGGAGATCAATCCCACCTGGTCATGATGGATAATCTTTTCAATGTACTGTTGCATCTTATTAGCTAGGATATTGTTGAGAATCTAAGCATCTATATTCATCAGGGCTAATGGTCTGATATTCTCCTTTTTGATGGGATCTTTGCCTGGTTTGGGAATCAGGGTAATGCTGGCTTCATAAAAAGAGTCTGAAAATTTTCTTCTGGTTCAGTTTTTTGAAACAGCTTTAAGAGAATAGGTATTATTTCTTCTTTGAAAGTTTGGTAGAATTCCCCAGGGAATCCATCAGGTCCTGTGCTTTTTTGTGGGGGGAGGTTTTTGATCATGGCTTCAATCTCATTACTAGATATTGGTCTACTCAGGTTGTCAGTTTCTTCCTGATTCAGTCTTGGAAGTTTATAGGTTTCCAGGAATCCATTGATTTCTTCTAGGTTGCTTAATGTATTGGCATATAACTATTGATAATAATTTCTGATTATTGTTTCTATTTCCTTGTTGTTAGTCATGATCTGTACCCTTTCATTCATAATTTTATTAATTTGGGTCCTCTTTCTTTTCTTTTGGATTAGTTTGGCTAGTGGTTTATCGATCTTATTGATTTTTTCCAAGAATCAGCTTCTAGTTTTATTGATGTGTTCTACTGTATCTCTAGTTTCTATCTCATTGAACCCTGCTCTAATCTTGATTATTTCCCTTCTAGTGTGTGGGGTTGGCTTAATTTGCTGTTGGCTTGCCCGTTCCTTGAGGTGTAAAGAGAGCTGGTGTATTCTGGATTTTTCAATTTTTTGAGGGAGGCTTGGATGGCTATATATTTCCCCTTAGGACCACCTTTGCCATATCCCATAGGTTTTGGACAGATGTGTCTTTATTCTCATTGGTTTCCATGAATTGTTTAAGATCTTCTTTAATTACCTGGTTGATCCAAACATTTTTAAGCAGGTTGGTTTTTAGCTTCCAAGTGTTTGAATTCCTTCCAAAAGTTTTCTTGTGGTTGAGTTCTAGTTTTGAAGCATTGTGGTCTGAGAATATGCAGGGAATAATGTGAATCTTTTGGTATTGGTTGAGCCCTCATTTGTGACCCAGTATTGGTCTATTCTGGAGAAAGTTCCATGTGTGCTTGAGAAGAATGAGTATTCTGCTTTTTTAGGGTGGAATGTTCTATATGTATCTATGAGGTCCATCTGGTCCAATGTGTCATTCAAAGCTCTTGTTTCTTTATTGATTTTCCGCTTGGATGGACTATCTGTTACTGAGAGTGGCAAGTTAAGATCCCCTACAATTAGTGTATTCATATTAATATGACTCTTTATTTTGATTAATAGTTTGCTTATGTATTTGGCTGCTCCCATATTGGGATATAAATATTTACAATTGTTAGATCTTCTTGGTGGATAGACCCTTTAAGACTGTGAACTCTGAGAAACAAACTGAAGCTTTTGGAGGAAAGGTGTAGGGGGTTGGGAGGGTCTGGTGGTGAGTACTAAGGAGGGCACATATTGTATGGAGCACTGGGTATGGTACATAAACAGTGAATCTTGGAACACTAAAAAAAAATACTAAATGTCAAAAAGAATTATGTAATGTCCTTCTGTATCTCTGACTACAGTCTTTAGCTTAAAATCTAATTTATCTGATATGAGAATCGCTACCCCAGCTTTCTTTTGAGGCCCATTGGCATGCAAGATGCTTCTCCATCCCTTCACTTTCAGTCTGGATGTATCTTTAGGTTCCAAATGTGTCTCTTGTAGACAGCATATGGATGGGTCCTGTCCTTTTATCCAATGTGCAACCCTGTGCCATTTTATGGGAACATTTAGGCCATTCACATTGAGAATGATTATTGAAAGATACATTTTTATTGACATCATGTTGCCTGTGAAGTCTTTGTTTCTATAGATTATCTCTATAAATTTCTGTTCTATGCCACTCTTGGGTTCTTTCATCTTTTATAGAATCCCCCCCTCCAATATTTCTTCTAGTGCTGGCTTGATGGTCAGATACTCTTTTAAACCTTGCTGGTCTTGGAAACTCTTTATCTCTCCTTCCATTTTGAATGCCAACATTGCTGGATAAAGTATTCTTGGTTGCATGTTCTTCTCGGTTAGTGCCCTGAATATGTCTTGCCAGCCCTTTCTGGCTTCCCAGGTTTCTGTGGACAGGTCTAATGTTATTCTGATGGACTTTCTTCTGTACGTAAGGAATCTCTTCCCCCTAGCTGCCCTCAGGACCTCTTGTCTAAAATGATGATTTGTGAATTTCGTGGACATTTTAACAATATTAAATCTTGGCATCCAGGAGCACAAGATATCTTTCCATTATTTGTGTCTTCTTCAAGTTCTTTCATTAGTGTCTTATGGTTTTTGATGTACAGGTCTTTCACCTCCTTGGTTCAGCTTCTTCCCAGGTATTTTATTCTTGTGATGCAGTTACACATCAGCTTGCTTTCTTAATTTCTTTTTCTGATAGTGGATTGTTAGGGTACAGGAGTGCAACTGATTTTGCATGTTCATTCCGTACCCTGCCACTTGACTGAATTTGTTCCTTAGTTCTAGCCATGTTTTAGAGGAGTGTTTCAGGCTTTTTATACGTAATACCATGCCATCTTCAAATAGTGACACATTTACTTCTTCCTTTCTCATATGGATGTCCTTTGTTTCTTTTCCTTGCCTACTTGCTCTGGCAAAGCCTTCCAATGCAATGTTGACTAAATGTGGACAAGGTGGGTATCCTTGCCTAGTTCCTCATCTCACAGGAAAAACTTCCAGATTTCCACCATGGAGTATGATGCTAGATTTGGACTTGTCATAATGGCCTTTATTTTTTTTTTAAAGATTTTATTTATTTATTTGACAGATAGATCACAAGTAGGCACAGAGGCAGGGGCGGGGGGTACAGGCTCCCCTCTGAGCAAAGAGTCTGATGCAGGACTCGACCTCAGGACCCTGGGATCACGACCTGAGCTGAAGGCAGAGGCTTTAACCCACTGAGCCACCCAGGCGACCCGATAATGGCCTTTATTGTGTTGAGGCATGCTACCTCCATTCTCACTTTTTGAGCGTTTTTATCCTACATGGATGTTGAATGTTGTCAGTTGGTTTTTCTGCATCTGTGGAGAGGATCATAGATGTTTTATCCTTTATTTTATTAATCTGGTGCATCCTGTCGATCGGTTTGTGGATGTTGAACCATCCTTGAATTCCTGAAGTAAGTTGCAGTCTATCATGGTGTATGATCATTCTGACAGATTGTTGACCTTGGCCTGCTAATAACTGTTGAGGACTGTTGCATCTGTATCCATCAGGGACATCAGCCTATAATTTTCCTTTATGTGTTGTCCTTGTCTAGTTTTGGTAACAGGGTAATGTTGTTTCTAGCATATGAGTTTGGAAGTGTTCCTTCTTTTTCTGTGTCTTTGGAAGTGTGTGAGAGGGATAGGTAATAATTCACCTATAAATGTTTGGTAGAATTCACCAGTGACGCTGTCTGGTCTTGGACTTGTGTGGGTGGGGAGGTTTTGGATTCCTGATTCACTCTCCTTAGTAGTAATTGGTCTATTGAGATTTCCTATTTCTTCTTGATACAGTCTTCATAGGTAGATACTACTAGGAATTAGGGGAGCCTGGGTGGCTCAGTCATTAAGCATCTGCCTATGATCCCAGGGTCCTGGGATTGAGCCCCACATCAGGCTCCCTACTTGGTGGGCAGCATGCTTCTCCCTCTCCTGCTCCCATTGCTTGTGTTCTTTCTCTCTTTCTGTCATTCTCTGTCAAATAACTAAATAAATCTTTAAAATAGAAGGAATTTATTCATGGTTTGCCTTTACATTTTGAAAGTGAGCTCAAGGTGAGCAAATGTGAGTCATAGCTATTATCACTGATATTCATAATTTTATCATTAAAATTAGTGATGTTGATAATTAGTAATACAGATATATGTTCAGAATAGCTCAGAGACTGAAATAACTTAGACAAATATCTATTCTATATATTTTCACTTATATGCAGGATCTAGAAAAACCAAACTGATGGAAATAGGGATTAGATTTGTGGTTGCCAGAGGTGTGTGTGGGGGAAGGTGGGGGAATTGGGTGATGGTTTTTAAAAGTTACAAATGTCCAGGTATAAGATAGATAAGTACTTGAGATATAAAACATGATTAAAGGAAGGAAGGAAGGCAAGGAAGAGACAGAAAGGAATATAGGAAGGAAGAAAGGAAGGAAAGAAGGAAGGGAGGAAGGAAAGGGTTAGGAAGGAAGGAAAGGAGGAAGGTAGGTAGGTAAGTGCAGGAATGTCCTTGGGGAGCTGGTTGGAGCTTCTGCAAGGAAGAGCGGGAGGGCCCCTGATGGGGGTGATGAAGGCTGGACTGGGTTCTTCCTGAACTGGGCTCTGCCCTGGAATTCCAAGGTTTTGTGCTGTGTCCTGGCCTGCAGGGGTGTGACAAGCAATTCTTCAACGCCTCACTGCAGTTTGCCAACATGGACATTCTGATGGACTACACCAACTCTTACAAATCCAGGCTCGGCGTCTCTGTGGAGTACGCCACTCTGGCCAAATACTTTGGTGCATTGCAAGCTACCAATATCACCTGGCACGTCCGTGAGCACCAAGACTTCCTGCCCTATTCCTCAGGTATGACCCCATGCAGGTTGGTTGCAGATCTATTGCTGGGGAGGGTGCCCACCGAGTCTGCTCTGCCGTGCTGATGGAGATTTTGAGGGTCACTGGGGCCGAGATGGCCCCTGCTCCCCACACCCGCCCCCACACCCTGTTCCACCTAGATATCCTAGGATTGACACTACACTCACAGAAGGGCTCCATAGCTTCCTATTTCCACATCCACAAAGCCTTGGCCGCCTTCACCCAGGAGGGCTACAAGGCTGTGAGCTTGGTTATAGTTGAGGTGGGAGGGGCAAATTGATGTGGGCGGGGTTACACTTGCAGTTCAAGTGTAACTACATCCTTGTGGGCGTGGTTACAGTCCGGGTAGGGGAGGCTATGTGAGTGTGGGCGTGGCTACACCATAGAGGGAGGAGATAGGGCAATGGCCTGCAGGTGTTCTGAATGAGCTTGATTTGGTGCAACCCTCCAAGAGAGACAATGTTTATGTGGAGAGTGGACAGGTGCGGTGATCCCTGGTCCCTGCTCTGAGTCACTGGGGATTTAGAGCTTAGGCTGCAGGGCGCCCCTGCCTGACCAGGACACTCAGCCTGCTGGAGGAGCTGTGGACAGCATGGTCTCCTGACCATAGAGCCTGTAGCCTTTCCCTGGATCACAGGGCTGGATACCCTTCCTGGTGTGTTCAGGTCATGTGGGAGAAGGTCAGGGAATGGAGACACTCCCCAGCCTGGGAGAAGGCAGAAGGCAAGAACCATAGGGACAGTCAACCACCTGTGGGACCCAGCCATGCTGCCAGGAGGCACCCAGCCCCCCTCCTCCCACCCAGTCTTAGTCAGGAGTCATTCTCTATGTGCAGGTCCATGCAGCAGACACGGGATCCCTCAGCTTTCCCCCATCCCACTTCCCTGGACTGCCAGTGGAACCCCAGTGATGGCAGGCTTATCCCAGACTCTATATTGCTCCCAAGTCACATGCCAGCACTCAAAGGCCTGTGTCAACCGGGTGCTGCCAACTTGGCTCCCATCTCCCCCACCCCTCCCTGGAGGTGTCCCAGGCCCTTGGCTCATAGGCTGTTCCAGGTTTCCCAGGTCCACCCTGGGCTCTCTGGTTCCCCATCCCAGGCCTGGTCCAGGCCAACCTGATCCTCACATTTACCCCAGCCTGTCTCTGGAATCCCTGGGCCATTCCTATCCTGGCTGGAGAAGGAGTCTGTGGCAGCCCCCATAGGTGACCCAGGAAGAGCCAGAGCCCAGGCCCCAGCTTCCCTAGCTCTACTGGGACTAGATCTCAGGAAGCCCCCAGGCCAGGGAGACTCAAGCCAACTGCAAGCCCTTCTCTCCAGGTCCACATCAGGCTTGGACCGGCTTCTATTCATCTTGCAACCAGCTCAAGGGGCTGGCCAGGCGAGCCAGCGCTCTGTTGTATGCTGGGGAGTCCATGTTCACACGCTCTGTGTGGCCAGTTCCCCACCAGCACCTGGACCTGGACTGGGCCCTGAAGCAGCTCCAGCAGCTCCGCTGGGCTGTCTCTGAGGTAACGGCACCCCTCTTAGCAACATGATCAGGTTGGAAACCTCCTGTGCAGTGCGCTTCCCCAGCCCCTGGTCACTAGATATCCACATTCCAGAAGAGAATACCAAGGTGGCCTGTGGTCCCATGGCAGGTGCAGGTGGACCCTGGGCCAAGGCCAGAACCATGCTCTGAGAGCCTTCAGCTGGTAGTTTCAGTAGACTTTAGAGCCAAATTTACCCAGAGGGCAAAGGGAAAAGAGAAGCAGCATTAGTGTTCTATAGTCCTGCATGGATTCAATCCCACTCTGCTGTGTGTCCTCAGGCTTAGGACTTCCCTCTCTGAACCCTAATTCCCTCCCTGTATGCTGAGAAGCTCATACCCACCCCAGGATGCTGGGGCAACTGAATGTGAGAATGTATATGAGCTGCTTGGCACGGTGGCTGCCCCACAGCAAGTTGTTCCCAATGTTCTGTCTCACGTGTCCCCACTGTACAGATGGGAAAACTGACAGAATGTGTCACTGTGTTGGGAGCGGAGTGGATAGATTGAGCCATTGGAGTAGGCAGGACACATAGCTTTAGTTGGTGGGGCCTCAGTTTCTCTTTGGGGAAGAAAAGCTCATCCCATGTCCACTTTGGTACAGAGAATGGAGGGTACCTGGAGCATCCCAGTGGCACTCACAGGAAGACTGCACAGCAGAGGTGAAGCTGGGGTGGGTCCCTTGCAGATGTCTGTTTGCTGCCCAAGCTAGAGGACTCAGTGGGTTTCTGCAGTCATCAAACCTCTGGTCCTCAGTTTTCTACTCTGGAATATGGTAGGGATGCTCACCTGCTCCACTAGAACCTGGTGAGAGGGAAGGAGAGCCAGACTCCAGGAGGTGGTCTGTAGAGGCAGGCCCGATCCAGAGTTTCCCCCACTCTGGTTGGGACCCAGGTACAGCACCATGATGCCATCACTGGGACTGAGACCCCCAAGGTGAGAGACATGTACATGAAGAATCTGAGGTCAGGGATGCAGGGTGTGCACGAACTGATGGCCTCCATTGTCCAGGACAGGACCCCAGCGTACTCAGGTAAGTGATGGCCCTGCATGTCTGGGAGGGGGCTCTGAACCCTTCTGAGCAGAGCTGGGGGTCATGGAGAAGACATGAACAACCTGAGCTTCAGATCTGCAACCACATCCCTTGTGCACCCCTGAGCCCTTGGTCTGAGCTTGGCATGTGCCTGGACTCCTCTGAGCCTCCATGTCCTGTGTGTGATGGGAAGATGGGGAGGTCACCATTGAAGCCCGTCCTAATAGCCAACTGAGTTAGGTGTTTGCTCAGCGCCCAGCTCGCAGTGTTTACTGCTATGCCTGGAGTGTCTGTAAGCTAAGAGGTGCTCTTGTCCTCACTGTGTAGCTGAGGACACATCAGAAACAGAGATTGTGGACATGCCCAGGGTCACCCAGCTAGGCGGAGCAGAGCTAGGATTGAACCCAGGGACTGAGCTGCAGGATTGCAGAAGATACAGGTGTTCTCAGGGACATGACCCCATCTGGATTGCCCAACTCACCCCTAAGTTCAGTTTGGGTGCTGATTCAGGGCCCTTTGACAGCGAAGGTTTCACACGTCTGGAGTAACAGATCATGCAGCCTGAGACTGGGAATTGTGAACCAGAAAGTCCTAGGGGCACCGGGATACCTCAGCCTCCCTCCCAGTGCCTGATGTCATGTGCACAAGGCCTGCTGCACCCCTCCCAGCACCCCACCTCAGCCTGCGCTCTGTCATGGTGCACCCTCACATCTGACCTCCCTGCTCACCTGGCCTGCACTTCCTTCCGTCTGCATCTGTTGGCAATGCCGTCTGACCTTCAGACCAGTGAAGGCCCCTGGGGACCATGCATGCAGTGCCCAGGGTCACAGCCCACTGATCTGGGGGTTGGCTGGGACAGAGAGCAGCAGCAGAGCTGGAACTGGAGTCTGATTTCCCTGCCAGGCGGGGCCATCCATTCCCATGACCTCACCAGGGTGACTTGTCTGAGCAATGAAGGGGTGGAGGTCAGGAAAGGTGTCCCAGCCACAGGGAACAGCCTGGGCAGGGGCAGGGGGCTGGAAAGTGTGTGATGTGTTCAGGGGTCCAGGATTCATCAGACATGAGCAGAGTTTATCTCACTGGGAGTAAAGAATGGACAGAGAAGGAACCCAGAGTCACATCACTGGGGCTCAGACACTGGACTAGGTGATTGGACTGGACCTCCAGCCTTCCGGGAATTCTCCAGTCCTTCCCAATGCCAAGGGCTCAAAGGTTGGGAGCCACACCTTAGTAGCTGGTCAGGTCGGACATGTGACTGTACTTCTCGGGGCCTCAGTTCCCTTGTCAGTCTAATGGGGCTGTCAGGGGTGATGTGTAAGGAGCACAGGGATCCTCTCTGTCCAGAAGGACACAGTGTGATCCTTTCCAGCATCCCTGGCCTGGGGAATGGACACAGAGCCCTGAGCAGAGTACAGGGCCTGCTGGTGTAGAAGATCACTAGCTCACTGGTCCTATACTCAGTTCCCCCGGTAACTCTGCAGGAATGTCTCTCTTCTGCCTCAGTTTCCCACGTAACCAGGGGCCCCCAGGGGTGTTGGGTGAATCCAATGGCAGCAGGTAAGGCCAGTTCTCTGTGTGCAGACCCAGAAGCTGGGGGACACATTGCCGTGGTCTACAACCCCCTGGCTTGGACGGTCACCACCCTTGTTACCCTGACTGTGGGCTTCTCCAGGGTCAACGTCACAGATGAGTTCGGCCAGCCAGTGCCTGCACAGGTATGGCCCTGACAGCATGCACGGGGGCACACTTGCTGCCGCTGACATCTTTTCCAGTAGGGCACTTCCCGAAGTGGGAGCAGTTCACGTGAACATGTGGCCATTGGGGCCACACGTTCACGTGAACATGTGGCCATTGGGGCCACACCTGGAAGATACCCCATGGAGACCCTTATCTAGTAAGGTCAGTGGGATCCACAAGGGGACTCTCACTGGTCTGTGAGCATCTGAAGTGCCCAGAAGTCCCAGCACTGTTCCCTCCCTGGAGGGTCTCCTGGGTGGCCTGCCCTGGTTGGGAGGCTTCTCCTCATGCCCTCAACATAGGGCATATTTGTGTTCTCATGCAAATATCCACTTTCTATGGACAGGCCCTCAGGAATCTTCAGAGGGACACTTTGCAGAGGTGCTGATGGTCCAGGCTGGCACAGCTGCCTGTGTCCGCCCATCCAGACACCAGTTTGTGTGTGGTCTGTCCTCATTTCCTACCACTGCCTGGAGCCAGCCGAGGGGCCGAGGGACCCTGCCTGTCCCCCAGTGCCAGGATTTCCCTGAGGACATGCAGGAGGTGCTGACATCAGCCACTCAGCAAACACTCCTGGAGGCACATTCTGGTCCTGGACAGCAGCACCACCATGGGGAATGGGCGGGTCAGACACTTAAAGGACATGTGTGGTGTGGAGTGAGGAACTGGGGAGCCAGGGTAGCAGACCTTGGTTGATGCAGGAGGAGAACGAGTTCATCTGACCTAAGTAGGAAGATGGGATGGTGTTGGTTTCAGCAGACCCAACTCCTAGCACCCTCTTCTTCACCCACACGCAACACCACTCTGAGTAAATGCACTCAACAAATATTTTGGACACCTATTGTGTGTCAGGTTCTGGCCTAGGTTCCGGGCTTCCTTAATAACCAAGCCCGTGAAGTCCCTGCCAACAGAGGACTCATATTTTCACCCTGGGGAACAGGCAGGAAACCAAATAAGAATGTGTGGAATATGACAGATGGTTGTGTTTTGACGAGGAAGATTGACAGAGCTGGATGGAGGCAGAGACAGGGTATGTATGTCCCACAAAGCTTGGGTGGGATGGTGTATGCAGCCATCCTTGGCTTGCTGATAGGGCCCCCAAGCTTCTCATGGGGGCTCAGATGCTGCATGCTTCCCCTGGAGTGTGAGAGGCTCAGTTGAGTGTGCCCAGTGTCCTCCTCCATCCCTCCCAGGTCAGGGGACAGGGTGATGAGGAAGATGGTGGGGTGAACAGAAAAACGTCCCCTGGGGAAATTGGAGGGTGTGAAATAAGGGACTTCAGAGAGCAGGCTCTCCAGGAAGGGGGAATAGCATGAGCAAAGGCTCCGAGGTATGAAACAGCAGGGGTGCTGAGAAGGGAGGGCAGTGGCTGATGCTAGAGTCTGAGGAGTGAGGGAAGCTAGGGAGGGAGATGGAGCTGGGGCAGGATCCTTGTGAGCAGGGAGGATGCCTGAAGGGAACTCAGCACAGACCAATGATGGAAAGACCCTACTGTCCATGGGTAATGAGCACCCTGCCCAGGAGGTGTGCAATCACAGTATAGTGAGGACACTGAGGGTCCTCCTGTCCTGAAACCCACCATATTGTTTTGTTCTGCTGGTGTTGCAGGTCCAGGAATCGAAGGAGAAGGAAACTGCTTATGACTTGCATGTGCTGACCACAATCCCGGGCCTCAGTTACCGACACTATAGTATCAGGCACGCCCAGGGGACCCAGGGTGCCACACCTGTCAAAACATCCAAATTTGTCCGCAGGACAAAGACACATGCTGGTTCAGGGGGCAGACACCTAATTCGTGTGGAGAATGACTGTTACACTGTGTTCCTGGACGCTGACACTAACCTCATGCATAGCATTTTGGAGAGGTGAGGCACAGCCATTGCTGACTCTGAGGCAGAGGCATATGCTGAGACCTGGGCTTGTCATTTCCCCACCTGCCTGTGTTCTCGCCAGCTAGGGGAATCACCAGAAAGGGGTGAAGGCCCTCCTGTATTACCATTTTAATTTCTGCGTTTTTTGAGACCAGACCAGTACATGTCTTGACCCTTGTGCCACAGCTATTGATCCATATCCAATCCATATCCAATAACCACCCATCCATTCATCAGCTTACCTGTCATCCACCCACCCATCCGTGCACCCCTCCATCTATCCATCCAACCATCCATTCTTCCATCCATCCACTCCCTACCCATCCATATACCACTTACTTAACACTCATTCACTCCCACACATACATCTATCACTTATCTTTCGATCTACCCATGTATCTGTTTTTCTGTCTATCCATCTTTCCATCCAACCAATAATAACCTTCTTCTCCTTCCTTCCTTTCTTTCATCCATCATTCCTTCCCTCCATCAACTATCCTTGATCATCCATTTATTCAACTAACCAACCACACCTCTATCCATTAATCCCCTACAACCATCATTTTATATCCACACACCAAAGCACCCAGCCACCCATCAGCTACCCCTCCCACACACCCTCCCATCCATCATCCTCCATCCATGCATACATCCAAACACGCATTCTTCCATCCATCCACTATCCTCCCAGTCGTCTCTATATTCATCCTACTTTACAACCATCCATCCATCCACTCACTCACTCAACCATCCACCCATCCATTCACTCACCTCCCATCCATTCATATATCTACCTGCCTACATACCTAACCACACACTCTCCCATACATCTGTATATCCACCTACTTACCGATTCATTCACACCTACACACATCCATCCATCCACTTATCATTTGACCTATCCAGGTCTGTTTATCATTCTTTTCATCCATCCATCCATCCAGCCAGCCATCCATTCATCCATCCATTTACACATCCATTCACTCAGTAATCGTTAATAGCACAGAAAGCAGGTGACTCCCAGATAAAAGCCTCTCAGATGTTTTGAGGCCAGCCTTGTCCACCCCCAGGTCACATCCCAGAAATTTGCATTCCAGCTGCATTTCCTGATGTGACCTCCCAACTGGATTGGAAGTGGAGGAGGAACAGGAAGTCTGGGAGGAGCAGCTGGCAGAAAGTGAGGGGAAGGAAAGAGAAGGGAGGGAGGAGTATGGGTGTGAGCTGAGTGGTACCTGGAGCTCACCCTGAGGGCAGTTGTGCACAGCTCTGGAGCCTCATCACACTAGGAAGTTCTCCATAGGGGGACCCCATCCAAGCTGTGTCCTTCATCATTCTAAAGATCCCCTTGAGAGAGGGTGTGGCAGGTAGAAGGAGCTGACTGCAGCCAGCTTGGGTGGGGAGGGGAGGATGGGGAGAGCAGTTGAACCCAGGGCGGCCAGGCAACTTCTGAGCCTCCCTGGTAAGACAAGAGACCCCAGGCTGGTCTTGGGATGCTTGTCCAGTCAGGCCTGATGCCCAACTAGACAGCCCTTGCTTGGCCAGCCCCACCTTGCCTTCCCTATGTGCAGTTCATGAAGGCCTCATCCTCAGCCATGACCCTTTACTCAGCATGTCCAGTAGTACACTCTTGGCCTGCTGACCACCCCCTCACCCCTGTCCGTCTCTGTTCCTTTTGGCTGGGTGAGAACTGGGTGCTCCTTAGGGTCCCTGAAATCCCCTCCAGGGTAAACCGATGGCCCAGTGCCTGGCCACTGGTCACAGAGAGAAGGAGCTGTAGAAATGGAGAGCAGTGGATCAGAGGACTCTTGGTGGGCAGGAGGCACCTGGAGCCAGGCCTCAGGACTGGAAGGGCCAGAGAATTCATGGGCACAGATGAGGGGACAGCTGTTCCATGGAAGGACCCTCCTGTGCAGGTCCCGAGAGGGTGGCCATCGTGTGCAGAGACCACCCTAGGGCAGGTTGGGTGGAGGGACCTTCTTTGTCACAGGACAGCACCGTGGATAGAATTTGCTGACCATGCAGCTCAGCCATGGAAATGTTCCCCGTCTGTGGGGCTAGGACACTCAGTGCTCATGTGAGCATCACCAGTCATGGCCCCTCTGACCCTTCTCTGTCTCTGGATTTGTCTAAATTGGACATTTCATACCAGGGGATGAACTCCATGCAGCCCTGTGGGGTTGGCTCCTTCCCCCAGCATCGTGTGTCCAAGGACCGTCCATGCTGCCATGGGCATGAGCGCCTCGTCCCCCCTCAGGCTCTGTGTTATTCCCGCCGCAGATGAAGCATGTTTTACTCCTCCAGTCTCTCCCCGACAACACCCAGCAGAGCTGATGCAGGGAGTGGGGCGTGAGCAGCCTGCAGCCAGAAGGGAAAGGGTTTGGGCCAGACTAATGAGCAGGACCTTTTCTGGCCTCTTCAGAGGGGCCAGAGGGGCTCTTCTCAGATGATCCCGTCTTCCCATCCATGCCCAACACAATGGCACAGAAATCCCCCAAATGGGTGTGGAAGGGACACTTCTTTATGCTCTGTACCCACAGCCCCACGCCCCGATCCCAGTACGTGGCTGTGTCTTGACCACACACAGAGGTAGAATCCATACACGTGTCTACACTATCCATGTGTCTACAGGGCTCTGAGTTTCTGCCCATTCTTCCCCCACCCTCCGTCCCAACCCCAGTATCTGAACCGAATGGAATGAGCCCAGATCGTGCGGTTGGAACAGAACCTGAGTCCTGGCTTGGGCTCTTCCCAGACATGAGGTCCTGTGCCAGGGATTAGGGCCTCCAGCCTCGTGGGCCTCGGGAGTGAGGTGGGTTCATGTTCCCTGCCCTCGGGAGTCAGGAGGAGGCGGTGAAGTGAGCAAAGGTTCTGGCTCCTCACATCTGGATGCCTGGGGGTCCGCATGATGAAGTCCTTGCTTGTGCTCCTTGGGGTCCCTCTGAAAGGTGTGGGGTGGCCCTGCTGGCTGCCTGATGACCAGGCACCACCTCCAGGGGGCGTTCCCTCTGGGCGGCTTCAATACCCACTGCTTATGCTCTCGGGGTCCTATTAAGCAGCCTCTGTCGCCCTCCTGCGTGGGGTCCCCCCAGCACATGGAAGGATCTAAGGCCACTTGGCTCAGGGGAGAGGGTGTCTCACAGACGTTATCTGAACCACGTGCATAGGTGTCACCGAGCAGCCTCGTGACTGTCATCGAGGTTCTGCTGAGGTCTCTACTCTGCTTCTTATGGAGGTGGGTGTCTGCATAGAAGGCTGTTCACCAGCTCCCAGATGACAAGGACAATGCTCGGGACACACGTGCATGAAGAAAATACTGCTTTCCCTTTCCTGTCCCTGCAGAGAGAGTAACAGCACAGTGCGGGTGACTCAGGAGTTCATGGAGTACCATGTCAACAATCTTGAGTTTGAGGAACTCAGTTCTAATTACTACCTATTTTCACCCAACGGGACCGCTGAGCCAGCATGGGAGGGTGTGGAGTTGGAGATTGTGGCGGGAAAGCTCATGACCGAGATCCGGCAGTTCTTCTACAGGTACGCTGACGCGTGTACGAGGGAGTCAGGGTCCATGAGTGTTCCTGACACCGGCTCATTCCCAGAGGTAGTCGGGGCCCATGCATGTCCCTGATACCAGATTGTTCCTGGAGGGAGTTGGGGCCCATGCGCGTCCCTGACACCAGCTTATTCCCAGAGGGAGTCAGGGTCCATGCGTGTTCCTGATACCAGCTCGTTTTTGATATTAGCTTGATGCAGACATGATTGTTCCAGAGTGGGGCATCCTGGCCCCACTGCATGGACTGTACCTCCTGGCAGGTGTCCAATGTCAGAGTTGGGACAGGAACCCACAAGGATAATGACTTACACCAGAAGTTGTGTGACAGCACAGAACTAAGCGATCCAAGTCAGGCCCCCCAGCTCCGTATTATCAGGGGACCAGGCTCTTCCCATTATATTGCCCAGGATGGCTCCCTGACTCTGCCTGACTGCAAGAAGGAGGGAGGGAGAGAAGGGGTCATGGAAACAGGAAGGAAGGAAAAAGGGAGAGGGAAGAAGGAAAGAAGAGAGGAAGACAAAGAGGGAGGGAGAGAGGAAGGGAGGGAGGGAAGGAGGGACAGATGAAGGGGGTAAGAGGATTGAGGGACATCTGCAGAGTTCCCAGAGCCTGACCCACTGAGTCCCAATTCTCCAGGAAGGAGAGAGACTGGAATCACACATATGCCATCTACTCCCGGCTCGTCCACGTGCCGGTCAGCCATGGTGGGGAGCTGCTCTGCCGTCGCATCGAGCAGGAGTACCGGGTGGGCCTCTTGGAGCTGAACTGTGAGGCCATCCTGAGGACCAGCACCAGTCTCCATAACTGGAAAATCCTCTACTCAGACAGCAACGGTTTCCAGATGCAGCGGAGAGTCTTCCGGGAACACACGACCAACAGCATCGCTCGGGTAGGCCCTAGGATGCCTGCTGGACCTGTGCCCATGGGGTGGCCCTGATGGCCCTTTTCCAGAAGGCCAGAGCAGGAAGCCCTCTCCAGTACCACCTGAGAGCCCCCTTGCCCACCTGTGCTGCTGTGGGCGGAAGACCCCATCTCGGGTCAACCCTGGTGTCTGAAATCCGGTGCCACCATAGGCACTGGGCCGTCCCTGTCCCTGTCTGTGCCTTGGTTTCCTTTGTGTAGATGAGAAATCTCAGAACGACTCCTTGGGGGAGTCGTTCTGAGATTTCTGAGCTGATGCTGGTCAAAGGCTTAGAGGGCCTGATCCCCGCCAGGTGCTGTGGCAGAGACACTGCCTGGCAGCTCATTCAAAGTGATGAGCATGGCCCGAAGCCACACATCAGCTCCCCCACCCTAGGCCTCCAGCCTTGGGACCCTGGGCAAGTGGGTTGGCCTTTCTATGGCTCCACGCTGTCCTGATGGAGGGAATAACATTGGTCCCCAGGGCTGGTAGGGTCAGTGGGAACAATCCAGGTGAAGCCCCCTTGGGGGGGTCTCCTGTGACCCCAGTAATCATTAGTTCTTACTTCATCCGGGGGACCCAGAGGGGTATGTCCCCACCTGCTCTGCTTGTGAGTTCTGGTCCCTTCATCCCTGTTTGCTCACTCACCCGTGCTGTGCAGGGGCTCCTTTTGCGTCCTCCCTGGACATTTGCTCCAGCAGAGCACAGAGCATGGGGAGTGTGGCTGCTGCCCCAGACCACACTTGGCCCTTTCTCTCTGTAGCAACCCTCGGCCCCGCACCCATAACAGGTAGACCCACATACCCCCTCGTCACTCCTGCAGGAATGTGCGCAGTGGGTCTTGGCCCCATTGTATCGGTAGGGAAACTGGGGATTGAGTGGGCTCAGTCCCGATGGGCAGGAAGCAGTGGAGCTGAATTGACAGTGGAACTGTCAATGACAGTTTGTTGGGCTCTTACGGTTACAGCCTCTACCATAGTCTTCCTGCTGCACCCTGAGGAGTTGCTGTGTCTGTGTGGGGGATAGGCAGGGGTGGTCCGAGTCAGGACCAGCAGTCCTGCCCGTACTTTGCCCTGACAGCCAGTCTGGCCATGTTTGTGTGCACAGAATTATTACCCCATGGTTCAGTCCGCCTTCATCGAGGACAGCCAAAGCAGGCTGGTGCTGATGTCTGAGCAGGCACATGGCGTCTCCAGCCAAGGAAATGGCCAGGTAGAGGTAGGAAATGGACACTCCTGGCGTCCCAGGGTGGGAGCAGGTAGGAGGGGGGCCTGTCAGACAGCTTTCCCCTGCAGGTCATGCTCCATCGCCAGCTGTGGAACAACTTTGACTGGGCTCTGGATTATGACCTCACATTGGACGACACCTCTGTTGTCCACCCCGTGCTCTGGCTCCTGCTCGGACCCCGGCCACTCACCGCGGGCCTGCACCAGAGGAGTGGGCTGGCACTGCAGCACAGACCAGTAGTGCTGTTAAGAGAGCTGAATGGTAAGGGAGTGTTCTTACCAGAATGAGCCCACCTGGCCGGGTAGACCTGGGGAGGGGTGTGGACCACCCCTGATCTGGACAACGTTGGGCAGAAGGAAGCTCAGGGTCTCTGATCCAAAGTCCTCATATAAGGTGTAGGCAAACTTGGGCAAAGAGGTTCAGGGTTCACTTAAGCTCATATAGGTGGTGGGAGCATTTCGGAGACACACCCATTCCACCTTCTACCTTTTCCCTGAGTTTCCTTCATTTTTGCTCTGATGTCTCTTTTTCTTTCTTAATATGACACATATGGCTTCACAGATAGAAGACCAACATTAAAAGACTTGTTTTATGTGACTTCTGGGTACGCTGTCACCAGGTGAGGGAGATTCCTGTCCATGGTCTGATCTGCAAAGCTCATGAATTCCCTCCACTCAAACCCCTACTGACTTAAAACAGGCTGTGTCTGTATGAAAATAATTGAATATAGGTAATGATCATGTTTAAAAATGGTACATTCGAGCAGCAATTAAAAAATGAAACAGTTAGATACAATGTCATGTCTGTCTCACTAATCCTTGAACTTTTTCTATTCTACTCACTTGCAGAGGTTTTGATGAGAATGTGGTTATAATTTCTCCTTGCCTCAGTTTTAGAGCAGGGCCCTCCCAGGTATTTGAGGCAAGAAGGCTGTTGCTCACTCTTGTATGAAGCATGTATGAGTGCCTGCTGTGTGCTGCACACTGGGGATGGGTAAGTCCAGGCCTCTCCTGAAGGATTTGTCCTGAGCGCTCCACTGGGGAGCTGTGCTCATATACATCCCAGCTTCAGGGAGCATAGGGAGAGGTACTGGGTAAGAGTCTGCGACCTTGTGCGTTGGGGACCAAGAGCCTGGAGAACATCAGTATCAACTTGGAAGGGGGTCATTGAGGTTCTCTTGTTCGGAGGTAATAGACATGGAAGGGGCTGCTGGTTGGGCAGAGTGTGGACAAGTTCCTGGATTCAGAGCAGCTGGACAAGAGGTGTGGGCAGGCGAAGTGGGGGCAGGGCAGCTGGGGGCAACTGGGGAGCAGGTATTCACAATTATCCTTCCAGGATGCCATGAGTTGCCTGCCTCTGGGTCTCAGGTTCCCAATTCCCAGAGAGGGGATCTGATTGGCCAGCAGGCTGGTGCTCCAGGATGAGTCAGTTGTTCCTTCCAGGAAGCTGGGAGCCCTTTCCACAGAGGGGGATGGCCCCGTGCCTGAGGAGGGCCCATGGCTAGGTCAGGATCTCCCACTGGCCCTACTCTGGTCTCTCCTGTTTGAAAGTGAGAGAAATTAAACATTTACTGGCTGAGCTCTCAGCAAACTCTATCCGAGGTGCGTGCACATGACTGTGGGAAGGGCAGGGTGCAGTTGGTGCTCAGCAGGCTGGACCTTGATGAGTCCATCCCTTTCCCTCACTCTCAGCTGTGCTTCTCCCTGTCTGCAAACTTCTTTATCCCCCTTACTGGGATGAGGCTGTGAACTCCTGTGTCATGCATCCCCCCTTCCACCCCATCCCCTGCAAAAGGACTAAGCTCAATCTTCCCAGGCCAGGTGCAAAAGTCCCATGGAAAGCTTCTGATTGGTGCAGAGAGGAGCTCGTGTTCTGAGCCTGGACCTGGGGACTGCAAGGAGATGGTGCTCCAGCTGGAACCTAGAGCTGAAAGGGCTTTTCCTGGAAGGAGGAGGGGGCTGAGGTGCCTTCTAAGCAGGGGGCCATAAATGACAAAACAAGAGAAGAGCTGGCATCCCATAGCTTGCATTGAAATCAGGGCTCTGCCTGAACCTGCCCTGTGATCTGGAACAAACCCCATCACCTCTCTGGGCTGTAGAATCCCTATCTGTACTTTGAAATGGCTAGACTAGAGATTCAGGGTCCTTCCAGCTGTTAGACTCTGTGATCTGAGCCCCTGGACAGGTGGAAGGAAAGGCATCCAGGTGGAATGATGTCCATGGACAAAGGCACGAAAGGGGATACCTGAAGTGCAGTGACCAGCAGGTGCTTCAGGCTGTCTTCCCTGTGGGGCACACGTGGGCAGGAGCTGGATCGTCTGAACGAGGGCATATGGTGTGCAGAGCTCCCACTGCCATGAGGAAGAGCCTGGACCCAATACTTTTCCTGGCTCTGTGTGTCCACCCCACAGAGACTGCCCAGAATCTCCCAGGGCCCCAGCAGCAAAAGCCCGTGACCCTGCCCCCAAGTCTTCACCTTCAGATCCTCAGCATCCCAGGCTGGAACTACAGCTCCAACCACAGAGAGCACCTACAGAATCTCCAGAAAGGTGAGGCAGGTATCCAAGGGAGCCAGACAGATGGCACCCTCCCCTTGGCAACCTGGCCACATGTCCATCACCAAAGTGGGCTTCTCTCAGAGTTGTCCTGCTTCTGCATCGTCACCTGATCCCTTTCTCTTACCCAGTGGGGAGGGCCAGGCCCACAGACAGGCTGTGGGGGACCAAAGTCATTCAATAAGCAGGGTACACTGTGGACATGGACCCTAGCCCAGGACCTGTCCACGCCCATTCTCTGATGGATCCCTGCTAACCCCACCACCAACCCCCAATCACCATCCACCATCTGCCAGACCCTCAGCCTTCAGTGCAGCCCTGCTTCCTCAGAGACTCCTCCTGGAGCCCTGAACAGCCAACCCCACTTGTCCTCTGAACCCAGGAAGCATGATTTTCCAGAGCTTCCATTCATTCACTGAACAAATATCTCTTGTGCCCGACACTGGGTAATCAGTGTTGACCTATGTAGGCAAGGCCCCTGGACTCACAGAGCTCTCCATCTAGAGGGGGAAGCAGGCAAGTCACCAGCCAGTGATGCTGGTGTTCACATTAAGCCCCCAGCAGGGCATCGTGGGGGGCTCCCTGGTGGAGGTGACACTTGCCATAAACTGACTCTTCCTGTTGCCCAAGCTCCAGCTGCACCTTATCTTCCCTTTTCCACTGTAAGCAGCTCAAAGGCAGAGCTGGCTGCCCCTGAGCCACTCTCTTGTCCCCTAGAGCCCCATCCAGGTCCTGCCAGTCACCAAAGACGGCTCAGTAGGAGTCTGCAGATTGAAGGAGGAAAATAAAGAGGCAACAGTCCAGATAACACTTTTATCTGATAAAGTGGATCTTGGGGACCATTGCTCATGCCTGCAGCCAAGTGATGTTCTAGCACTGAACCGTATTACCAGGAATCCCCGTCACAGAAGATGCTGGGCAAGGAGCCTTCCCTACAAGGCAGAGCGTTCCCTTCCCACTGGTGTGCGTGACCACATGCAAGAGAATAGGTCTCCTGTAGACAGCGGGCTCCCAAATAGGAGAAGAAAGGGGCTGGCCTGGGGGTGCCCCAGACCTGTTGAATGAAGGTCTCTCCTCCATGGAGAGCAGAGAGTGAGGGGCAGAGCAGGGTGAACCTCGGGGATGGAGTGAGACCACACCCCCCGACCCCCGTCTCTCTGAGCTCAGAGCCACCTTATGAAGTAGTTGTGTCATTCTGGACATCAGCAGGTCCTCACCCCACCCCCACCCCCACCCCCACCATCATCTGGAGACAGAGGACCTGCCTGACCCTTGGGATCCAATCCATAACCACACCCTGGAACAGGAAGAAGGGATTTTCACACCCTGTGTGCAGCAATAGCATCAAAGGGATTGTGTCAGTGCCTCCCAGGGGGGATGAGGGTAGAAAGGGAACTGCAGGTGTCGCGTGCTGGGCCCAGTTAGAGGATCATTGCTGATAGGGGTCCTTCTGTCCCTGAAGGCCATGGAAGGAAGGCCAAGGCAGACCTCCACCGTGTCCTGCTGCGGCTCCATCACCTGTATGAGGTGGGGGAGGACCCAGTCCTGTCTCAGCCCGTGAGTGTGAACCTGGAGGTAAGGGCCCTTAGACCCCTGTGACAGGCTCCCAGGCCGTGGCCTGAAGCCCCAGCAGGGAGGCAAACCCCAGTGTGAAAATCCCCTCTGGCAAAGACCTCGTCAGAGATACCTGGGGTGCTCTCGCTCATCCTGGAGTGGGCGCTGTGGGGGTACGTGGGCATCCCACCCTCCTCTCTCTGCATTCTTGCTGCTGCTCTAGTCCCTTCCTGGGTCACTGTGTCCTGTACCTGGCCTCCCCAGCATGCTGGCTGTTTCTCTTTGGCTAGTCCTCTGTGGTCACCTGCAGGCACAGCCTCACAAGCAGATAGGTCTGCAGAAGCAGGAAGGCAGCAGCAAATGGGTTCTTGCTTCTGAGTGCTTTCTCCCTGTGTCAGTGCAGGGAAGCTTCCCCAGAAACCTCTCACCTTCCTGGTCAGGCCAGAAGGGGCCACCTGCCTCTGTCCCTGCACAGGAGACTGGGTCCCTGCTTTTTAGGCACAGGAGATGGATAACTACTCCTGGCCTCAGCCTGGGGCACCCCCTGAGCCATACTGGGGAGAGGGGTTCTGGACAGTTCTTGTGCTTGCCTCCCCTGGGTATGCTTATCCAATGCAGTTCCTGGGAAAGCACGCTGTTCCCTGCCTCAGTGTCCTCATCTGTGAATTGGGCACACAGTTCCTCTGGGGATTTGCTGGGAGAATTCATGTGGTGGTATGTTGTGCCTCAAGCGTGGGTGCCACCCCTACTCCTACTTTGCTTCTGCTCTGATCTGGGGACTCAGGGGTAGCTCACCTTCCTTGTGCTCTTGTCCCTCAGGTCGTGCTGCAGGGGCTGGGACCGGTGGTGGAGGTGGAGGAGCGCTCCCTCACAGGAACCTGGGATGTGAGCACGCTGCACCGCTGGAGCTGGAGGACACAGGATGGTCCCCACAGCAGAGGTTTGAGAGCTCCTGGTTCAGGCTGAGCCTGGGAATACTAGCCCTCCCCCAGCCTAGCTCAGGAGCTGGCCAGACCTTATTTAGATCCCAGCTATGCCCATTATGGCCTGTGTGACCTTGAGTGGGCTACTTGGCTTCTCTGATTCTGTACCATCCAGAATCTACCACGGGTCTGTGTGTGTGTGCATGTCTGTGTGTGTGTCTGCAGACCACACCCCCTGCCTCTGTCCTGGGTGAGTCATATCCCAGGGGGTCTGACATCTGTCATGATGTGCCTCACACCACACACACCACTATGAGCTCCTGGGAACCATAGGCAGCTTCATGCCCCCCAGTCTTCCCCATGCTGTTCCCTCTGCCTGGATCATCATTGTCCTCTTCCCTCCAAGCTGCTCCTACTCAGGCTTGGCGGAGTTTAGGGATGGGCCACGTTCCTCCTCCATTCTCCTTTTCCCCTTTCCCCTCGTTCTTTTTTTCATGGGTATACTAGTGGATCATGGATGGATGGCTGGGTGGATGGATGAGTCTATGGAAGTGTGAGTGTTTGGATGGGTGAAAGGAAGGATGGATTCAGGGATGGACTAATGGATCATGGGTGGATGGATGGATTAATGGATGGGTGATGGATGATGAATGAATAGATGGATTGGTAGATACATGATGAATGATGGATAGATGATAGATGAATGGATGGGTAGATGCGTAGATATGTATTTCTCTTTGCAGGATGATGGATGGATGATGGATGGATGGATGGATGGATGGATGGATGGATGGATGGATTAGTCTATTGAAGTATGAATGTTTGAATGGGTGGAAGGATGGATGGATTGATGGGTGGTCTAATGGATCATGAATGGATGGATGGGTGGAAGAATGGATGAAGAGGTTTCCCTCTCAAGGTTGAAATTAGTGGAACCCAGTAATATAAAGTGCAGCCCCACCAGGTGGCCTCAGTGAGAAAGCTCTAGGAATTGAGTGCTACACCCCATGGAAAATGACGTCATGTGTGGCCAGGACCACCTATATATTATGCTCATGGGAGGGCCAAAATGCAAGGGGCCCATGGAAGTGGGAGTCCTGGCAGGATGGGTCAGCCAAGGGCCTTCATCAAAGAGCCACATTAGAGTGTAGGTGGGTGCGGTGTATGAGGGGAATCTGGTGGAAACGCCCCAGGGAAGCAAGTGGTTCTGAGGACAGACCACCTCTGCTCCCCCAGGCAGCTCCAGCTCTCACTCGACATCCCTGCAAGGCACGAAGGTCACCATTTACCCGAAGGAAATCCGGACATTCTTCATCCACTTTCGTAGCAGTGAGCCCATGGCAGACTCTGTGAACTCAGGGCAACCCCAGGAGCCCCAGGAAGAGGAACAGGACCCAGGACATGGAAAAGCAGCATGGGAGGATGAGTGAGGACCCCCCCCGATAAGCTACTGGAGAAAATGGTCAGATTGGGGGTTTTGTTGTGCTTTAAATAAAAATTGCGTTTCGCATGTTCTCCTGGGGCTCTAGAGCTGGCCTCTCCTATCCTCCCACCTGGGTGATGTCTGCATGCACACTCGCACTCCTCGTGCCTGTGCAGGAGTCGTCAGGAAGCTCCCATAAGGCAGAGGGAAATACCCAGAGTGACAGAAAAAGCACCTGCCACACAGGCCCCACCCCCTCTTGCCCAGACCACCAGTATGATGTGCGGGCCTACTGTGTGCCTAATGATGGGTGCGGGTGGGGTCCTGCCAGGACAGGGGGCTTTCAGAATCCATGTGGGGGGCATAAGGGTCCATCCAGGAAGGCTGTGGAAAGATGACCCCCAGGCCAGGTGGGCTTTGGGGGAAGAGTAGATGCCTCAAGGCCTGAGCCCTGACAGGCAGGGTGCTGAGAGCAGGGGCCAGGATCTGCTGGGTGTTTCTTTCTGCTCTCACTTCACGGCTCCTGGGCAGCCCTCCATGGGCTGTGTCAGAAACGGTCCAGGTGCCCGGTGTCGTGTGACTCTCTACTAGGACAGGGGCCTGGGGCGGGAGTGGGACCCTGAAGAGGATTCCTAGCACCTTCAGCTGTATGGGGTCTAAGCCTCGGGGGACCGACAGTGCAGTGGAATCAGACTGTCCCTTGTCATTTGAGGCAACTTTAGGGGTCTGCCCGTATCCCCTCATTTCCATTCTTGTGTGTGCCAGGCTGTGTCCTGGGCACCTGACAGATGGGATCTGGAAGCCTTTAGCACATTGTGTGTTCCGGGTTCTTGACACTGTCAGTGTGATGCAGAGTCCTTCCCTGCTGCCTGCGGGCTCCACCTTGCACTCCAGCCTCAGGTCCCATCCTTCTCTGTGTCTGCCACATCAGCCTTCTCCCAATGCCTGTGACACCCAAGCACAGTCCCACTGTAATGCCTTGACCCATGCCATTCCGTCTTCCTGGAAACTCCTACCAGCTGGCCTGCACCATTCCCTCCCTGGCTCATTCATGTCTCTGCTCCAGGTCACCTTCTCCTCTGACCACTCTATGGCAGGTATCACCAACACTGCCCTCCCCCCTGCCAGTCTCCTCCTCTTCCAGGCTTTCTCTTCCTTCACGGCCCTTCCATCTGCCCTCGTTCATTATGGCAGGGATTGGTTGTCTCCGGCCCCTGGACGTGTGCTTCACAGAGGAGGAAACTTCTGGCTTTTCCTCACTGTATCCCCAGGCTGGAAGCAGACGTAGGCACACGTGGCCCTTGATCAATGTTTAATCCCTGGATCAAAGCTGCAGTGATGAAGGTTGTCTGTGGTTTCTGTTCAGAGAAGAATGAAGTGGGGAAGATGGGGGTCACCCCGGCCCCGTTGACCTCATGCATCCAGGGCAGTTGGCTTGGGACTGCTCATCTCGTGGAATGGCCAATTCCTCCAGAGACCCTCACCCCAGCCTCAGCCTCCCCCAGGAGGGGTCCCGAGTGCATGTCAAGGCTCTGGGTGACCAGGTCGGTCATCTGACATGAGTCCCACGGTGTGTTGGGGGCTTCACCCCATGTCCAGACTGGGGCTCCAGGGCCCCGCATGGCCTACCCCCCCTAGGCACCCAGGGTTGGTGGTTCAAAAGCATGACACGGGGACAAATTGCTCTGATCCGAGGGTGATCTGAAATCCTGCAGGACCTGGGGGTGCTGGGTGCTCATGGCAATACAAGCTGACATGGGTGGAACGGCCAAATCAGCCGAGGCAGCCCCGAGGGCGTCACATCTGCTAGCTGGTCTGCCACAGCGCAGCCCGGCTGAGATATTGACATGGAGCTCCTGGATCTTTACAACTCTGGGGGAAGTAAGGGTGATCCAAAGCTTCCCTTAAGATGGAAGCACGAACCATAAATTATTCAGTGATCTGGATGCTGTTTGTGGGCAAATGGAAGCCCCACTCTGCTCCCACTTGCCCATTGCCCATGATGCTGCTCTCGGATTCTGACTGGCTACCCTGTTGGACTCTCCACGTAGAAAGTGAAAGGCTCAGGCTCCAGCAGTTCTAACTATCTGGCTGATGCATCTTGGACTGTCTCTGCCCAGCTGGCATCTGAATGATTGCCAGGGGTCACTGAGTAACCCAAGGTTAACAAGCAGAAGAACCACCCAGCTGAGCCTGGCCTAGATTGCAGAATCATGAGCAAATACATGGTTGTTATTTTAAACCACTGAACTTGGGGGTGGCTTGTTACATAGCAACAGCCAACTGATATCCTAAGTAAGGCCCATCTACTCACTCTCTATCTCCTTCTCTGAACTGGTCCTCTCGAGATCAGCTCCGACCTTCTGGGCATATCACTCCTTGCTTAGAACCCAGTTTCTTTATCTATCAAAAAAGAAGGTATATGATTACTGAAGTACTTTTTAGCTCTGAAAATTCTGTAACATTGAAAGACCTCAAACAGGTTAGAATGAGCTTCAGAGCATAAAACAATGACACATAGTGTTCAATTCTTAAGAGGGATAATTTGGCCACTGTTTTAATTGTAGTGTTTAAAACACCTTGAACATCTCAGCTAGGAAATTGTATATGAAACTAGTTTTCCTGTGGTTGAGAAAGGACAGTTGCAACATTAAGACACTCTAACTTGAAAACAAAGGGTAAAACCTGAAGGCCTTATCCCAGACCCCTTCTTGAGAAATGGCAAATGAGTCTGTGTCTTGGTTCTTCCCATAATCATCCAGAAGGTCAGTGCCATGTGTCAAAGGTTTATGAGCTAAAGCACAAGAGGTATTCAGGAGAGAAATTTGAAATGCCATTTAGAAATTAGCAAGTGTAATGAAAAAAAAATCAATTGAGCCTCTGGCAGAAAAATGAGTGAGTGGGGTGGAAACTTTTATACCAGAGGAAATGGCATGTTCAGGAAATCTACCAGAAACCCAACCAAAAGAATCCATTCTTACTTCATCACATTCAAGAGATCTGTATACCTCTGATCCAATTAAGTGCCCTTGCTGGGAGCCCATACCTACCCCAGTGCCCACCTGCACAGGTGTGAGCAATGCCACCCTACACCAGCTTTTCCATCTTCTCTTTAATCTGGCTCCAGCACCTTCTAGCTGCATGATTTTAGCTCTCTGTGACTTAGTTCCCTCCTTTTGTTTCCATGGTGCTGAGCAATACCTACCCTCTCTTCCCTTCTATTCCAACAATGGACTTGAGTAGTGCCTGACAGGGTGAGTGTTCACTGTCATCAGTGGTCCTCAGCCTCTTTCCCTGCACCCCACATATCTAGCTCATATTCTTGTTGACTCCATTTACACAACACATCTCAAATGCTTTTAACTCTCTCCATAATCATGGCCACCCACCACAGTCTCCAGAGACACCATCTCTAGTCATGATGATCCCAGACACCTTCAGAATATTGTCTCCATCTCTTTCCCTGCTCCCTCCAATCTATTCCCGAAAGCAGCCCGAATAGTTTTTTAATATGTGAGAAAGATCATGTCACCTATCTGCTTAAAACCTTTCCCTTCGTGACAGAATAAGCCCAAACTCCAGCTCAAACTCAAATGGCTTGGCCCTGCCCCATATCCCATCCTCACCCTACCATGCTGTCCCCCACTCAGGATGCTGGAAAATCACCAGCCACTTTCTGTTCCTAGAACATGGCTGGGTTTGGCTGCTGTATAGTATTGGCACTTGCTGTACTCCCCTTGAAACTCCACCCCCAAATCTACCCCTTCTTATTCTTCCAGTTTTGGTTCAAATGCCATTTACTTCAAATGTCAAATGTCATATATTCTTTGACCATCCAGTCTGAAGAAGCTCTGCCCCCTCGCTTTGTGTTCCAAAATCCTGCTTTAGTTTTAGCATAGCATAGTATCTCTCTGAAATTGTCTTTGTTCATTTATTTGTTTACTTTTTCATTGTCTGTGCCCCTGCCCCACCCACATACACACACACTTATGCTTACTTTCAGGCATGCACACATGCATGCATATATACCTGTGATACACACACATATGTGTACATGAGCATGGTTACAATGTGCAGGAATGTGTGCATGCCCATGTGTGTACACACGCACACACACATACTCTGGAATGTAAACCTCCTGCTTCTGTCTTATTAACGCTGTATCCCTCAGCCCCTGGAACAGTGCCTGAATCATAAGAGTCCCTCTAAGAAATATTTGTCAAAAAAATGAATGAGATCAAGTATCTTATTTGTCCTCCAGCTTTGACACTTACTAGCTGTGTATTTGAGAAAGTCCTTGAGTTTGTTGTAGTCTCAGTTTTCTCACCTATAAAAATAGAGATAATAATAATAGTTTTCATGGGGGTTATGTGAGGGTTAGCTGAGAAAAACATGTTAGATGCTTAGACCAATGCCTGATGTGGGGTGGTAAGTTCTCAATAACTGTTAGTTTTTCTGCTGATGATGGTAATGGTGGTGGTGATGGTTGTGGTGAGGGTGGTGGTGATGAAGGTGTTGATGGTGGTGATGGTGGTTATAGTGGTGATGGTGGTGATGATGGTGGTGGTGGTGGTGGTGATGATGGTGATGGTGGTGATGGTGATGGTGGTGTGGTGGTGATGATGGTGGTGAGGGTGGTGATGATGGTGATGGTTGTGATGGTGATGGTGGTGATGATGGTGGTGGTGATTATTGATGAGGGAAAGATTAACAATGAAGCACATTGGGTCCGGTTTCTGTACATAACATATATAAGTGCTTAGGGTGGTACCTGACAAATGGTAAGTGTCTAATAACTGTAGGTTATAAATCAGCTCAGTTTAGTTCAAAAGCAAATGTGTCATCTTCTGATAAAACCCAATGAAGCCAGATCCAATAAAACCACACAATAAAATTCTGGTTTAATAGCATTAGCTGGTCACAACAGAATTATAGAAAGATCTTCACTGTATTTTATTGCATCTTGGGGAATTTTTAAAATAATGTAATTACTTTTGCTCTAAATGT